GTACTCCCAGCTGCTTTGGTGGCCAGTGGGCACCTGTCTCCCAGGAGGAGGCAGAGGTGCTGGCTCATCAGATGTGGCCAGCTGGACTCCTGCCCTGCTGACAGCAGTCCCAGCTCTCTGCTTCTTCGGTCCTCCCCCACCTCTGTTACCTCTCTATCTCTGCACACCATACTCCCTGGGGACCCCCCCTTCCTTAGAAAGCCATCACCCTCTCCCTGCCTTTTAACCTTCCCTTGCCCCAAAGTTTCCATGAAGCTGGGCTGGGTGATATCTGGCCCTCCTAGTGGCCCACAAGGCATCAGGGAATAGTCGGAATCTGAAGACAGGGCATGGTAATGCATGCCTATAATCCCAGCACTTGGGAGGCTGAGGCAGGAGGATCACTGCGAGTTTGAGACCAGCCTGGGCTACAAAGTGAGTCCAAAGCCAGCCTGAACTGCATAGTGAAACCCTATCTCAAAAAGACAAAAAAAAGAAACCGAGGCTGTCTCTGCGGGTCCTGCCCTAGTTGTGGGTCTATACAGACTGTGAACCTGCGTGTGCACCTGTGTGCTGCCGGGCATATATTGGTGTGTGTGTGTGTGTGTGAGTGTGTGTGTGTGTGTAGCTATCAAAGACAAAATGCTTGAGTTCTTGAGTCAAGACAGACTTAGGCTTGAACCCTTGAACAGTTTCTAATCACCCATGTGATATCAGATCAATCTCCTGTTCTCCCTGCGCAGCAGACCTCTTATCCCTAAAGCAGGAACAGTAAAGAGTTGAGGCGGGTCCCTGCTCACTTGAGTCATCCCACACGCCTTCCTGCTCTCTGGCCTCCAGGCTGGGCAATATATATATTTAAACTGGGCATGGTGGTGCATGCCTGTAATCCCAGCATTCAGGAGGCTGAGGCATGAGTTCAAGGCCAGCCTGAGTTATACAGTGAGTCCAACGCCAGCCTGAACTGTACAGTGAGACCCTGTTTCAAGAAGCCCAATACATATATATTTATTATTTTTATATATTTATTATTTATATATTTTAATATAAATATATTTCTTATTTATATATTATATATTTGTATATTGTTTATATATATGTTTTTGTCTAAAAGGCTGGGCGATATAGCTCAGCAGCAGCACTTGCCTAGCCTGTGGCTGGGTCATACAGGTGCACACACCTTCCCTCCCCGACATTTCTGCTCCCCCAGACCCAGCAGCCCCGTTTCTGCTGGCTGGGTTGCTCTCTGTGTCAGACGTCCTCTTAGTTCCCAGCTTGCTGGTGTCAGGCCAGCTGTCACTGTGCACCTGCGGGGCTGTGTCCCGTGTCCACGTGGGTCACTAAGGATTCACAGTGCTAGGCCAGGGCAGGCACTCAAGAGTTGGGAAACAATTTGCTCCTTCCCTCATTTCACCATTTATGTATTTATTTACCCTCCCTCCCTCCCTCCCTTCCTCCTCTCTCTCCTTCCTTTTCTCAGTCACTTCAGTCACTTGCTTGCTCCTTCAGGGCCTCCGGAGCTGGCTTTGCTCCTGGTCCCCACCCCGCCCCATCATATATATGTGCTGAGTTGGATCCAAGAGCTGGCAGTGACGACTCTTCCCCTGCCAGCCTGCCCTTGGACCCTGGCTTGTGCACAGCCCAGAGGACATCCTGTTTCTCTCCCTCCTCCCGCCCTGCCCATGTGTTCTGGGCCAGAAGCTTGTGAAATCCTGTGAGTCCTTCCCCCTCTAGCTCCCTGACAGCCTGGCGTGCAGAGCTTGGCTTTGCTGAGGATAGGAAACTGACAGCCCTCCTGACAGCAGCCCAGGTTGAGACCTGGAGGGTGACCAAGGTTGCCAGGTGCATGGACACACACATCCACAGAGCACACCTGTGACAGGCGCACATGAGAACGTGGCCTGGACAAGGACAGGACAGGTCCAAGGCCACAGAACAAGTCCACATGGGGATCCAGTTATAGCACATCTGTTCATTCATGGATCTGTCTGCACAGCAGGCAGAAGCAGACACCACTGCCATTTCCTGGCTGTGCAGGCTGGGAAAACCATGGCACTTCTCTGAGCTTAGCTTTCCTTGCATATAGTAAGTACTCAATAAATGTAGCTGCTAAAAAGAAAACAGGAACAGTAGGAAAGCACGTGCAAACACACTGTATGTGTGTGTGTCTTCAGACCCCATTATAATCACGTTCCTGTCCACTGGCGCACACGCGAGCACACTGTCAGTGTGTATCCAGGCCGGAGCTTGTTCGAGCACTTGTCTGTGAACTCCCACAGCCAATCGTTCCTTTCCAACAGCACACACTGTTCCTGGGGTGCTGTCCCGGGGCCTCTTCCCAACACCTGTCACCGCAGGAGACGCTGCTGAGTCCGCCAGGCCACGTGAGGGGCTGGGCCCACGCCCCTTCCATGTCAAGTTGGTTAGTCGTACACTCTGGGTTCATTTCTGCATCTGTGCATGCAAGAATGTCTGGACATTCCGGAACTTCACGACTTGGGCTTAGTTTTCCCTTCTACTAGCTGTGCCATCTCAGACAGGTGGTATGGACACTCCGCACCCCACTTCCTTATCTGTGAATGGAGAACTGGAGACCGCACCGCGCACCTCAGGGTGGTGTAAGGGCTGAAATCTGCATCAGGTGTCCAGGACCCAGCCTGGCTTGGACACCTGAGAAAGCCACTGCCACGTGCCACTCACTGACCCTGCACCTCACTCCCTATGGGATGACGTCACGTTGCTCTCCTCTCACAGCGCTTATCTGGAATAGCGCATCGTCTCTCAGCAAGGCTGTCCTCTCCATGCAGCTGTGAGTTCTGGGGAGCAGGGTCTCCTCTGAGTCACCTTCATTTCTAACTGGCGTGTGTCCTGCTCATAACCCCTGTGTTCTTTCCTAATAGCTAGCGGTTATGGCATGTCTGCAGGCCAAGTGTTAAGCCCACTAGTTATTCAGTCTCAAGAGAATGCCATTCTTGAAAACAAAACAAAAGCTCTCTGGGAGGCTGAGGCAGGAGGATAGCAAGTTTCAGCCCCACCTGAGTAACTTAGCGACTTAGTGAGCTCTGGTCTCTAAATGCAAAATAAAAAGGAAAAAAAAAAATAAAAGGAGGGCTGGGGATGTACCTCAGTGATAAGGCTTTGGATTCAATTCCTATTAAGAAAAAAACAAAGCAAAACAAAACAGCAAGCTGTGTGTGGTAGC